TTCTGAAAGAGTGTCTATCCACATTTGGATTGCAATTTCTAGATCTCAACACGGAGGACGTTGATGACAAGATGGAGAAGCTTGAGAGTTGGATAAAAGCTTTAAACATAGCTGCGAGGATACTCTTTCCGAATGAAAGGAAACTCTGCCATCTTGTCTTTGAAGCCTATATTTCCTCTTGGGAGTTTGTTTTCAGAGAGATATGCACAGAGTTGGCGATTAGTCTACTGAGCACCGCCCTAGCTTTAACAACTTGGAGCCATTTAATCCGCAACTCATTGCAGGAACTGATACAAGAGTTGGAATCATGTACAACACTCAGAAATAATGCAGTGGTCCTGATTAGACAGAGATTGTGCATCTATGAGGCGTTGGAAAATGTATCACCTGTACCGGGTGGCGGTATTCATCCGATTACCCTTGAAGTGATGTACTACATTTATTCTGTTTACAAGAATAGGGATATTCGTAAACTTTGTCAATGTTTAGAAGAAGGAAAGATTTCAAAGCCTGTGTACGTGGCCAGGATAACAGAGCTGTTTGGGAGAAAAAGAAGTTGGGAAGCCAAGTCCAAAAGTTACGATAACTTTGAAGTAAGTTACTACATGTATTGTGTTTACATAAATAAGGATAATAAACTTAGCCAAGGTTTAGAAGAGGGAAAGCTTTCTTCACCTATTTACATGACCAAGATGACAGAGCTTTTGGAGAACAGTTTGGAAGCCAACTCAAAAAATTACAATAACCCTACATTGGGTTATATTTTCATCATGAACAATAGGAGGTTCATAGAACTAGAGGCAAAACTATGTGGTTTGGATCCTATTTTTGACAATGATTGGCTCCAAAAGAACACAACAGAATTCCAAAAAAACCTTGAACTCTATAAGAGAAGCTCATGGAATAAGATTTTGGACTTTTTGAAGCTGGACATCAATGAGTCAAAGCCTAATGTTGCAGCTGAGTTGATGAAACAAAAACTCCATTGGTTCAATGAACACTTTGATGAGACTTGCAACGTGCAGTCTGCATGGTCTGTCTGTGATGAGGAGTTAAGGGAACAAATAATAAAATCCATAGAGAACATCTTGTTGCCAGTATATGGAAACTTTCTTGGGAAGTTTCAGGAACTTCTTGGGAAGCACGCTTATGAGTACATTAAGTATGGAGTGTTTGACGTTCAAGATCGAGTCAACAATTTGTTTCTTGTAAGGCAGTAGATGAATCTGATGCTGGAAAAGAAGGAAAGTTTATGTGAGTTTGTGTATATCTGGAAAGCAAAAAATTATTATCAAAAACTTAGTTCCACAGGATTTGTGCCCTTGTGCTGTATACCACTGTATTTTTTAACACAAAATCACACGTGTTTCCTTTTTATTTCGTTTTCATGTTTAAGATTAACTTGGGTCATATTTAAGTTTGGGTAGGGAGACTTATCAGATTTATGTCAAGTGTCATTGAACATCTCTGTTGTGCAATGAGTTTCTTTTACACACATCTAACGTATTATGTATTCCATAAAGTATATAATGAGTAAAAAATTTAGTAAGAAAGGGAATATCAAACATTTTTACAAAATTGGACAAAGATATAGAAGGAAAACAAAAACTCACTTTTTATTAATCCAATTATTCATCATGAAGAGGTGGCGTAAAGCAGGGTACTTGTAGTTTTCGAACACTGCCATTAGTTCTCTCTCCAATCGCTTCGTTATTCCATCAACGTGTTTGGAAACAGAAGATGTTCCCGTTACATTAACAAAAGCATGTTGGTGAGATTCCAATTGTCCTTCCGAAGAGCCTCCATACTATAGCCATGAGTTGTTGCATCATACTTAGCGAATTCACATCTATCACTAGTGTTTTCGCTGAAGTGAGAAAGAATTGGTTTAACAGATAGATAGATATATCAAATTGCAGGAAAGAGAGCTGAAAGAACGGATGCAAATACTAATACACAGCAAGCATTTTTATGCTTAACATGAAATTTCGGGGAAATGGACCAAAAATCATAGTCACCTTTGACTTCTATCGGGAATATGTCCAAATATTTTTAAGAAAATAAATTAGTTTTGATAAAATATTTTATTTGTTTTAAATGTTTAGATTTAATATATTTTTGATTATTTAAGAGTTTGTTTCCTTATTTTTAAAATAATATTATAATAATATTTGATTTTGTTTCATAATTTTTTCTATAAATAGAAGCTTTATGAATAAAATCTGATTACCTATGATAAAAATATATTTTTTTTTTATAAAATACAAATATAAAATAACTAAATATAAAATAACTCATTGTTAGTATTTGAAGTTAAGGTTATGACATGTTGAGATGAAAGCCATAAAAAAATTATGATATTTCCGTGTTGTTAGATAATTTTATTGTAATTTAAATGAAAATTTACAAAGAAAGAAAAACCAAAAAGATAAAGACAAAGAGTTGTCTCTTTACTTATGCCTCACAGAATATTTTCATAAGAATCATGACTCTCAAATCGTCAAAAGCAATTTTGGATTACTTAAAGGAAGAATATGTTGGAAATAAACGAATTTGAAGCATGCAAGTTTGCATTAATGAGAAAATTTGAGTTACAAATAATGAAAGAGATTGAAATCATCAAACAATACTCAGACAAATTGTTAATATTCAGAAAAATTGTTTGACATGCTAATAAGGTATGGTTACTACTAACACAATTTATTGATTCTAGAATTGTTGAAAAAATTCTAATAATTGTACCTAAAAGATATGAGGTTTCCATAACGAATTTGGAAAATACAAAGGATCTGAGTAAGATCACTTTGATAGAGGTGTTACATGCATTGCAAGCATTATAATAAAGGAGACTTATGAGACAAGAAGGAACTATGGAAGGTATATGATGCTTTCATAACGGCTTTGGAGAACACAAAAGATCTAAGTAAGAACACTTTGATAAATGTGTTACATGCGTTGCAAACATTAGAATAAAGGAGACTTGTGAGACACGAAGAAACTGTGGAAGGTGTATATTTAGTCAAATGAAAGAACTAGCTAAAACAGGAAGAAAGAATTATTCCAAGAGAATAACCAAAATAACAACACTCAAATTTTTACACCATGCCTTTGTTGGCAAAAGACGACTAGTCATCCACAATAAAAATGTTGGTAAAGACCTGACACAAAATGTAAGAAGTGCGGCCAATTAGGATTGCAAATCTCATGAGCAAATAAAAGAAACCAACATTGTTGAAAATTAACAAGAAGAGGAAGAAGAATAACTACTCTCAATGTCATGCTTTAATTACGATCAAAAAACCCTCAAAGGCTTGGATTATTAATCGTGGTTGTACAAATCATATGACTTATGATTGAGAACTCTTTAAAGAACTCTTCAAATAACTCAACAAAATTGATATATCTAAAGTTTCAATGGGGAATGGAGCATATGTTATAATAAAAGGCTAAGGAACAATCGCTATTAAAAGTCATTCAAATTTGAAATTAATATCTTATATTTTATACTTTCCTATTAATCAAAATTTGTTAAGTGTTACTCAATTGTTGGAAAAAGACTATAAAATGTTATTTTTAAAAAAATTTATGTGATTAAAAATATAAACATAATAATGAAGTATTCAATGCTCGTATGAAAGTCAAGAGTTTTGTTTTAAATTTGGAGAAAGAGGAGTCAATTATAAATGAAATACAAGTGAATAACACAAAGATGCACGTCTTCCAAAAAAGTTTGATGATCAAAAGAAGAATGAAGATGGTAAAAAAAACCTTTAAAAGAGAAGTTCAAAACAAATGCTAAGATGGTCCTACTCAAAAAGGATTACAACAAAAATTACAATAAAATAAAAAGAAGAAACCAGTCAAAAAAGAGAAAAGATAAATTTTAAAATTCAAATTCAAATTAGGTAATAAAGATATCTAGGAGTGTTAAGAATATGTCTAAATATCATTAAGAGAATAAATTAATTTTGATAAAAATCTTTTATTTATGTTTCAAATATTTAAATTTAATTTATTTTAATTATTTTATTTCACACACAACTTCAATAAGATATTATTAATTTTAAGCCTAAATTTTAATGATTTTATTTTTGGATATCTATTAAAAAGTCTTAATTATTAAAATATTTATGTGTTTTATAAATTATTATTTATTTTCTTATTTTATTGATGTAAAATTTTATTTATATCCAAACGTGTTATATTTCTCTTTCACTTACATGAGCAATAATGACTTCATGAAAATTCAAGAAAAACACGCTAATGAAATTTGGAGGAAATGCACCAAATTCCTAGAGCAAGGTTTGATTTAATGTTTTACTTACTACGCTGAAGAGTCCGTTGTTGCCTTACACGGCAAGTTTAATGTAAGAAAAAATGTTGAAACACGGTTAAACATTAAAACAAACATGTATGCAAATTAACCGAGTTTACTTGTTAACTTTATAAATACTAGATTGTGACTAGAACTTTGGGCGGTTTATGCGAGTTTATAAATGTACGTATATAATTAAATTTAATGGTATTAAAAATGTTTAAAAAAATGTTGTATTAAATATTAAAATTGAGTAATTATAAAGTAATTATTGAATTTATTATACGAAAAAGTTATAGATTATCAAAATTATATTATTTTTAAAATATAACATCAAATTATAAAAATAAACAACTGTAAAATATTTGTTGAACTTATACGTAAGAAATATATATTTATCAAAATTATAAAAAATTATAAAAATTATTTGTAAATTCATATTTTTCAAAATTTTAATTTACAAATTAAACTATTTGTAGATTATACATAGAAAACCTATATTTGTCAAAATATAGGAGATGAAAATTGTCAGAACAATATTGTGGATGCGAAAATCTTAGTTAATGTATGTTTTTGTTCAATATGAGAATAAAGCATGCATGATTACCCAAATTTGTATATATATTTTAACTTTTTATTGTTGGAATATCACAATCCCCCAAAATTGTATTTATATTTATTTTTTTTATTTTTGTAATATCATAATGATACTCTTGTAATTTGAAATCCAAAAGGCCTATAATGTGATTAGGAATTAATGAAATTGAGGAAAATAAAAAGTATTTTAATAACATTCTAATGATATGTTAGGCATTATGCACATATATATTTGAAAAGTTAAATTAAAATTTTTGATTAAAAGAGAGTTAAATTAAAAAAAATATTTTATTTAAATTTATGTAAATATTGTGTAACGTACATTATAAATGGCCTTCCTACATATGTTAGTTGAAACTTTTGGTAAAGAAAAAAATGCAATCATACAGATGTGTGAGTAATCGGTAGTACAGTGAAGGATGCCTTTCGATTGGGGTTCTCGAACATTTCACTCTTGGAGACACAGATGGTGTTAATTTCGAAGGTGGACCATCCGGTTAGCCTCAAAGAATTTCGTCCTATAAGCTTATGTAACGTTGTTTGGATGGTTATTTCTAAAGTGTTTGTGGCTCGTCTTAGACCCTTCCTGCATGGCGTCATTGGTCCTTTCCAGGACAGTTTTATTCCTGGGAGGGGGACTCGTGACCATAGTATTATTGCTCAAGAAGCCTTCCATTTGTACGGAAGGAGGGCTCAGGTGTGGGCTCCTTGACTTTAAAAATTGACCTTGAAAAGGCATATGACAGGGTCAGGTGGGATTTTTTGGAGTCTACGCTGGTGCAGTTTGGGTTTCCGTCAATCACAACCCAACTTATCATGTGGGGGTTGAAGAATTCGTCAATTTCACTCCTTTGGAATGGAAGCAAGTTATCGTCCTTTGTTCCGTCTTGTGGCCTTCGGCAGGGAGACCCATTATCTCCGTATCTGTTTGTTTTTTGCATGGAGCGCCTAACCCTTAGGATCTCTGAGTTGCTTCAGGAGGGTCATTGGAAACCGATTCAGCTCTCCCCTGGGGGGTTCTCGCTTTCACACCTTTTCTTTGCTGATGATATTTTACTGTTTTGTCAAGCTTCAGAGGATCAAGCTCGCTTGGTGGCGTCAATCTTGGAGGAGCTTTCGCGGTCTTCAGGCTTGAGGGTCAATTTGTCTAAGTCTAAGTTTGTGAGCTCTAGAAGGGTTTCACAGAGGAGGATCGATATACTGGAGGGATGGCTTGGGATTGGCCACACGGCTCGAATAGGGAAGTACTTGGGGGTTCCCATGACTCATGGTTAGCTGAGGTGCGCAGATTTTTATGATGTGATGGATAAGATTCAGGGTAGACTTGCGGCTTGGAAGTCCAAGCTTCTTAATAAGGTCGGGAAGTTGTGTCTGGTGAAGTCCACCATCTCCTCTATTCCAATTTATAGCATGCAAACACTGTGGCTTCCTCAAGCAGTGTGTAATAGAGTTGATCAGGCTTGTCGTTGTATGCTCTGGGCAAAATCTGACAACACACGGTTTTGGTCTCCAGTGAGTTGGGATGTTGTTACTCAACCCACAGAGTTCGGCGGCCTTCGTGTTAGGGAGGCGCGCAGGGTGAATGTATCCCTCCTTGGGCAGTTAGTTTGGGATCTGCTTACGGCTCCATAGAAGCCTTGGGTTCAACTCCTCAGCAATCTATACCTACAGGGAGACTCTATCTTGTGTGCTCAAAACAGGCGGGGTGCTTCTCCTACTTGGTCAAGTCTTCTTAAGGCCCTTCCTTATCTTCGTGAGGGATTCGTGCCTCAGCTAGGGTCGGGTGCCTCATCCCTTTGGTACACGGACTGGTCAGGTACTGGGCTTTGGTGTGGGAAAGTTCCATTAGTTCACATTGCGGACACCAACAAAACGGTCGTAGATTGCTGGGTTAGTGGTGCTTGGAACTTCACTGCTTTGTATACTGTTCTCCCGGCGGAACTGATACATTCAGTCCAACGGTTGAGTGTCGTCAATTCCTCTTTGGGGCTGGATCACTTCGCTTGGAGGGGGGATAGCTCGGGCTGTTACATAGCGGCATCTGGGTATCGTTTTCTAACCACGGTACTGTCAACGGAGGGGGACGAAGTTTGGAAGAAGATCTGGAAGTTAAAGATTCCTGAGAAGGTTAAGTTCTTTCTGTGGCAATGCCTTCATTCAGCCCTTCCAACGAATCAGGTTCGGGCTGATAGGAGGATGGCCGACTTTGGTGCATGCTCGCGTTGCTCTTGCCCTCACGAAACCATTTTACATGCACTTCGTGATTGCCCGTATTCGCGAGAGGTGCTGATGTCGGGTGGGATCAGTGTGGGGTGGTCTTTCTCAGTAATGGATTGTTTTCAGTGGCTGAAAGGGATTATTTTGCATAAGGATGCTATTAAGCTATCTGTGGAAGAACGCGCTCGATCCAACACTATCCATCACCTTATGGTGGGTTTGGCGGTTTAGGAATAACATGTTGTTTAACGCTGAGCTTTGGACGATTTCGTCGGTCCGTAGGAAGGTGACACTGTCTATGGTGGAGAACAGTGTGTATAACGCGAAGAGGCGCTTAGGGGCGGAGCCAGCCCTTTAGAGGCCTCCGGAGCATCCGTGGGTCAAACTAAACACGGACGGGAGTTGGTTGAGTGGATCTTATGCTATGGGGATGGGTGGAGCAATTCGAGATTGGGCAGGTATGTGGCGGGGCTTTCTCGCGTGGAGCTTTACATGGTGATGCGTTACGTGCCTAGTTATTGGCCTTGGAGGATGGCTTATCGTTTTGTTGGGAAGGTGGGTTTCGGAAGGTGAGTTGTGAATGTGATTGCCTGGGAGCTGTTACGCTGTTTCAAGAATGGTCAACGGATAGGGATTATCTGCATAAGCACTATGATGTGATTCGTTGTATTAAGCGCATGCTAGCTAGGAACTGGGTTGTTTACGTGAGTCATATCCCTCGAGAGATAAATTCAGTAGCCCATAAGCTAGTTAATTGGGGTGTACGGAACATAAGTTCCAATGTATTTTGGAGGAGTCCTCCAGAGTTTATCATGTTACCGTTAGGGAGAGACTCTATGTCTTGAGTTGTCTGTTATTTTTAGTTTTCATTCTTTACCAAAAAAAATAGGTAGTAATTGCCTTTATAAAAAAAAATCAATTGTAATTGTAATCCTTAAAAAAATAAAATAAAATATATATATATATAT